ATGCTTTACTGCGAAGGATCGTGCACATATACGTTTCATAACCGCAGTTCATATATATGTATTTCATATGTTTGTTGTTTGATTTATCATCTACGGGTTTATGTCGAATTAATTTGATGGCCTGCTCCCAGTTGGCTTGTTAGCTCAATTGGTAGAGCGCTGCACTAGTATCGCAGAGGTCAGTGGTTCGAATCCCGTACAGGCCTGAATTTTTTTCAGGTCTGATTTTCACTATTGCTTAAATAGTGCTTTACTGCGAAGGATCGTGCACATATACGTTTCATAACCGCAGTTCATATATATGTATTTCATATGTTTGTTGTTTGATTTATCATCTACGGGTTTATGTCGAATTAATTTGATGGCCTGCTCCCAGTTGGCTTGTTAGCTCAATTGGTAGAGCGCTGCACTAGTATCGCAGAGGTCAGTGGTTCGAATCCCGTACAGGCCTGAATTTTTTTCAGGTCTGATTTTCACTATTGCTTAAATAGTGCTTTACTGCGAAGGATCGTGCACATATACGTTTCATAACCGCAGTTCATATATATGTATTTCATATGTTTGTTGTTTGATTTATCATCTACGGGTTTATGTCGAATTAATTTGATGGCCTGCTCCCAGTTGGCTTGTTAGCTCAATTGGTAGAGCGCTGCACTAGTATCGCAGAGGTCAGTGGTTCGAATCCCGTACAGGCCTGAATTTTTTTCAGGTCTGATTTTCACTATTGCTTAAATAGTGCTTTACTGCGAAGGATCGTGCACATATACGTTTCATAACCGCAGTTCATATATATGTATTTCATATGTTTGTTGTTTGATTTATCATCTACGGGTTTATGTCGAATTAATTTGATGGCCTGCTCCCAGTTGGCTTGTTAGCTCAATTGGTAGAGCGCTGCACTAGTATCGCAGAGGTCAGTGGTTCGAATCCCGTACAGGCCTGAATTTTTTTCAGGTCTGATTTTCACTATTGCTTAAATAGTGCTTTACTGCGAAGGATCGTGCACATATACGTTTCATAACCGCAGTTCATATATATGTATTTCATATGTTTGTTGTTTGATTTATCATCTACGGGTTTATGTCGAATTAATTTGATGGCCTGCTCCCAGTTGGCTTGTTAGCTCAATTGGTAGAGCGCTGCACTAGTATCGCAGAGGTCAGTGGTTCGAATCCCGTACAGGCCTGAATTTTTTTCAGGTCTGATTTTCACTATTGCTTAAATAGTGCTTTACTGCGAAGGATCGTGCACATATACGTTTCATAACCGCAGTTCATATATATGTATTTCATATGTTTGTTGTTTGATTTATCATCTACGGGTTTATGTCGAATTAATTTGATGGCCTGCTCCCAGTTGGCTTGTTAGCTCAATTGGTAGAGCGCTGCACTAGTATCGCAGAGGTCAGTGGTTCGAATCCCGTACAGGCCTGAATTTTTTTCAGGTCTGATTTTCACTATTGCTTAAATAGTGCTTTACTGCGAAGGATCGTGCACATATACGTTTCATAACCGCAGTTCATATATATGTATTTCATATGTTTGTTGTTTGATTTATCATCTACGGGTTTATGTCGAATTAATTTGATGGCCTGCTCCCAGTTGGCTTGTTAGCTCAATTGGTAGAGCGCTGCACTAGTATCGCAGAGGTCAGTGGTTCGAATCCCGTACAGGCCTCAATTTTTTTCAGGTCTGATTTTCACTATTGATTAAATAGTGCTTTACTGCGAAGGATCGTGCACATATAAAACTGTCTTTAATAGGTACTGTAGGTTGTTTAAAAAAGGATGAAAACAATGAAGTAGACTTTATGTGAAGAATGTTGTGTGCTAGGGGGAACGTCTCTCTTGCGCATGGTAACATGAGTGTCCTTGGGGCCTTAAATTGAAACTCCCACTGGCAAACCACTCATTCAGCCCTTGAACCATTCAAACCTAATTATAAACCCAGCAGCAGTTGCACCTCTAATTTAATGAGTTGTTAGCTGATTATATCCTCTGATCAATTTACTTTAATTTACTCCGTAGGTTTTTTAGGTCTGTCAGATGTTTAGATGAGAATTGCAGCAGCAATATAATTGGACATGATGCAGTAATTTTTTGTAATTTATAAGGGAAATGATGTTTATTTAGGCAGTAGCAATATATAGTGTTGTGCAACTTAAAATGGAGCCCATTTTAATTTTGTAACTTTTAAAGTTCACATTTGCATTTTATTTAATATTCAATTTTGTTCTTATTTTATGAATAGTATTTTGAGGATGCTTATGTGAGAAGAGAAATATTACAAATAGTTACACCATGCCTGGATAAAGATGCCAGTTGTGAATGGATTGGGGAAGTCAGAAATGCAGAAGTAAGGCGTACTGAAAAAGAACCTGCATGTGGCCATAAGTTAAGTTGCCTGATTAATGTTCCCTTTGTTTTTACTTTTCTATTAGTTCTCATTTTTACTCTGCAAAATTAAGAGGTAATTCATTAATCACTTGAGTCCTGAACATATTTTTTACACCAGAAATCTTAACTGTTCTCTTAAAGAATAATATGTACTTGCACAATAATTTTACTTACTGGCATTTACTGTAGGTTATTAAATTCCTGTCAACTAAGACAACATTTCAATTTTTGTACCATTTGATCTGTTGGTAGGACCATTATAAAGAGCGTATCTGTAGGCCAGTGACATGCTCCAATGCTGGCTGCAGTGAAAATGTACCACTTTCAACATTGGCCCAGCACCAAGAGGAGGAATGTCAATTTAGAGATGTGGTTTGCAACTCCTGCAATATGGCAGTAAAGTGGGCTGATCAAGCAGTATAAGTCAGAACTTTAGATTCTGGAGGCCCACAGTTTAGAATCAAGCATATTCAGAGTTAATGTATTTCTAAGGGCTGCTGGTTTAGTTGACAACCTTAGCGCATGATGATCGATTAACCCAATGGAAACAACATTATATTAATGCTGAAAAAGGGTCTTCATTGTTTTACATAATGCCTGGCAGATCTATTCCAAGTGTAAATTAAGAGACTTAAGAGGAAAATGTAATTTTTTGCACATCTGGTATGAAACTCAATTAGTAAATGTATTAGCACCCATAACATGTAGTCTCTAATTGTTCTTTTGATGCAGTTAACTTAAAACAGAATAATTCAACAAAACAAAACAAAAATAAAATAAAAGAATTGGAAAAATTAGTTCAACTGGTGTTGAGTACAGTCATCAAGTTTATTGCCATGTACGTGTGTTCACTACAACACGGAACCATATGAATGAAAGTTGCAAAAACATCCATGTAACCTGTGGACACTGTGGAAAAGAGAACATTCAACTTTGTGAGGTATGTCAGTTAACACCCGTCATTCAATTAGTTTTTTTTGCACCAGTAATTGATATAAGTATAATAGTTCAGGTTATTGTAGAGATCGATGCTTGTGTGCTGATTGGTCAAAAATTATGTCATGTCTCACTCTAATGACCTTGTGTGAGGTTGGGATGTAAATTTCAAAATGGTTTCTCTGTGTTTTGTCAATGTTACAGAGAATTAGTGATGAATGCAATAGAAGATTAAATCCAATTCTAAAAACTTATATACAAGAGATAAAGTTTGGTGTACTTCTACATACAAATTATTTTTGCTGATTGAATTGAATAAATCCAGGTGTTAAATTCTAGTGGAGACTGGCTGCTTATCTTGATACAAGTAATTTAAATGAATGTAACAGAATGGTTTGAATAACAAAATAAACAAATTTAATTACCACAGAATTTGAAAGCATCTTAGCAGTTATACTGAAACAATCATTCGCCTCAGGTGTTAAGTGAATATATTGTGAAAAATTCCTCTTGACTTTGTCTTTGGTCATTCAACGATATTCATTTGCCTGCTGTGAATAATTGGTCATAGCTAGGGCCAAAAGAGTTCAATTTGGTCAGTAGTCATACCAGTGATTACAAAATCACAGGAGTCCAATTTCTAAATCACAATTATGATTAATCACCTTACTAGATGACATGAAGTCCTAGCAGATTAATCAAAACCATCACAACTTTTAAAAAACAAATTTATTTATTTGAGATGACATAATTCTCTGGCCCTGTTTGTTCGAAGGGTGGATAATTCTACCCACTGGGTAAAACTCTATCTGATTGATATTTCAGCTTGTTTGTTAATTACACTTATCCACTGGATAGCGATTTATCTACTGAATGGTGTTATCTGCCCTTTCATTTCAACCGGGCCCTGGTAGAGACAATGTCTAAAGGAAAAAAAATTCCCCTGTTTTGTAGGGCAAGTGGTAATTTTTGTATGGTTCTTGTAATCAATTCTGTGATCGGCAGATTTAGTTGAGAGGGCCTAGTATGATTGTCCGCTTTTAAATTGGTAGCTGATCACAGTCAACTGTCAGATTACACTGTATAATTACAACTCTACCGAAAAATAAGTGAAAAATAAAGCAGGTAATACACTTAAGCCACATTTGGGGGAATTGTAATGGTTATGATTATCATAATAGTTATGGGATATCTTTCCATTCAAGAAACAACATTTGTTTATTTCTAGTATAAACTGAAATAAAAATGCACTGCAAATGTACAGGAAGTATATTTATTACTACATTTGACACTTACATGCATGTACTTGAGGTATCAGTACAATAAGAGAAACTTCTGTATTTTTAATATTTTGCATTAAGAACCAAGGGGAATAGAGAAAATGAAACTTTTTAAAATATATTTGTATTGTAAAATATGCCCAGTTGTACCAAGACATAATTTTTATGACAATTTAACCATGGATGAAAACTGGCCTGCAGATCAGGTCCAGTTGGCGAGCGAGGGCTCATATAACTCTCTTGGTGAAAGCAAAGGGGCAGGGTCTAAGCTCTTTATGAGTATATAGTCACCCAGGGTTTTAATTATTATACCTCTCTGCTTATTATAGTTAAAGAGGCATTAAGATGTAAAGGATGGTGATTGTGCACAAAAAGAATGTCCATACAGAAAGTATGGATGTGAGCATTCTGTAAGTTTTTTAGCCGATTACAAGTTAAAAAAATAATCGAGGTAAAAGCATTTCGAGATTGATTGATGATAGAAGTTATTCTAACCGCCAATATAATGGGGACTGTGTAAGATCATCTTGAGTACATTTTAATCTCATGCTAAAAGTGCTGGAAGACTAAGTTCCATTCGTAGCTGTTTTTGCTTTTTCATGCTTAGTGCTTCTGTAACATCCCAAAGAATTCCTGCGGCAAATCCAGTTCTGCTAAAGAGATTTAATCCGCCTTTTACTTTAACCGAGAACACTGCTCTATGAAAATTTCCTCTCAGAATCGCCCTAGTAAGACGGCCCCCACGTCATTTACGTCAATGCAAAGCTGTGATCACTCGAAAAAATGCTAGCTGACATGCTTATCTCAGGACAAAACCTGGGCGCTGCTAAAAAGAGGGTTTTTCCCAAGTCATCGACGCTAGCAAACTAAGTGGGTACAAGCCTTTTGCTGACATGTCTCATCGCCAAAAGCTGTCTTGTCCGTTTTTGAACAAGGGGACTGGGTAATGATACATATGACTTGTGAGTAAATTCGACTTATGAGTTAATTTGCAACTTGGTTGAAATATATTGCTATATTTGTACAAATTAACACTATCTGTTATTTATTCTAAAATTGTTTCAGGTGGAGATGGATCCCGAAGAGTTTAGGGCCCATTTGGGTGCTGCTATAGTAACACACTCGTTGCTCCTATTGCCACAGCAGGGAGGTGCTAATGGCTATCGCAGGGAAGCCACCGCGGCTGAGTTAAGTGCCTTGCGACAAAGTCTCACAGCAGACGAGGTGCATATTGCACGACATGAGTGGGCACTCCACAGCCATTACCAGATGATTTTGAACCTGAAAGAAGATGTGGAGAAATTGAAAGGTACCATGGGCAAGGAGGATGGTCAGTGACGGTTTTATTGGTTCTTTGCTTTTCTTGTTTAGTAATATCAAATGGCTTTATTGCATAAATTAACATATATACTAGTTATTGACTCTGTAACAGTAAGATTTCATTTTGAAATGTGCACTTTTACTGTTACAAAGTCAAAATGAGTAGAAGCAAAAAAGATCTTTTGATAGTGATGTATGCAGTTAATTAGGGATTCACTCGGTGCGTACTTTTGTAATAAGTAGTTTTTTTACCAACATCGTTGTATAGGAAATAGTTTTATAGAAATTAATCTGGGTGTAGTCCGTGATCCAGTCGTTATGGGGTTTGCACATAGTTTTCCATAATAGTTTAAGGTAATTTTGATGAACTTATTGTAGGCTGTTTAGGTTTTTTTATCCTAGATAAATGTGTATTACTAGCTTTTCACAAACTTTAGACTTGTTGAAAAATGCTGTAGGTCATCAGTTTCTCATCGTATAGAGTCCTGAAATTTATTTTTACATGTATTTTTATTTTATTACTAGCAGCGCTTTTTTCCGTTAAAACAAACCTTCTGCTGCAATCAATCAGAACAGTTGCCGTCCCAAACGAAACTTGTGCAATTGTTGCATCTTTGGTATTTTGGACACATCACTACTGTTCACAGCTTCTTTTTCGTTCATATTGTTCAATGCACTTTAATGGTAGGAGTAACATTTAACAAATGCAATTGTATTTGTAAAAAAAGAACCAAGAACGTAACAGCCTTTATTGCGTGAGGTACAATACTTAGTTTGAAATACCAAGGTAGCTAAGACAATAGTAAAACATATTTTAAAAAGACCGAGACTTGAGTGACGATAAAAACTTCCTTATTCATTGTCCAAAATGCGTAATGGAGTATTGGTAGTACAAAGCGTTCCTAAGTTTGTTATTAGCGTCGGTACATAATTTTTGATATTCTGTGTTTGACATATTTTAATCTGGTCTAAATTGGACTTGCATTTTCTGTTTATTTTGAACTCACTTTCACTTATGGTGTACATTACATCACTACAATTAGTTAAAATGATTTTGATCAGATTTTTGATCTTTTTGTTTTTCATCAGAACAATTAGTTTTAATGATTTTGAAGTTTCGCCGTGGTTTCTTCGTTTGCCAAAATTATGCGTTTGTTGTTCTTGAGCTGTTTGTGCCTTTGAGGAGAATTTTTGTTTGCGCATGTCAACAGTCAATAGCGTATCTTCGTATTTTTCTTTTATTTGAGAATGATGTGTTTGTCTTTTTGCAGCAAGATACCTCTTTTTTTAAAATTTATTTATTAATTTTTTTTTATCCGTCTGAATTAACTTTCACATTTCTTCCTAATTTTTTGGTGTTTGTTTACCCGTTCTTTAGACTGTTTTTGTTTGGTTTATCTATGTATTTTTAATTTCATTGTTTTGGATTTGTTTTTTGTTTGTTGTTGTTGTTGTTTATTTCATCAATTTGTCAGTTGTTACTTTTGTGAACGTTGTCGTTGAATGGTAATGGTAATGGTAATGGTTTATTAGATTTGAATTCAGCACTAAAATGAAATACTTCATATTTACAAGAAATTACAAAAAATATTTACAAAGTAAATGACACTATATAAATAAAAAAAATTTTGCCGGGGGACTGGGTTACCGGCTCACAAGATTCTATTAACAAATTATTACAAATGTGATATAAGTCTATTGCGATAATTCATTAAGCTTTGACGTCATTGCGGGAAAAAAACTTATTTGAAATTGTTTTGTCCTACATTTAAAAAGAGTCAACTTATTGCTGGAGCACAGCTGGCGGCCGTGTGCATCTAGTCTTTTCTGTGGAGTTAATGATGACAACTGTGAGTTTTTAATTTTCTTGAACTGTTGGAGGCAAAGACGTTCCCTATTTTCTTCCAGTGTGGGGTAATTCAAAACATTACATGCAGTTCTGTAAGAAATTAGTGGTTCGATTATCCTGAAAGCTCTTCTTTGTATCTGTTCTAAATTGTCCACAAGGTAAGATGGAAGGCTAGAATGCCATACCGGGCATGCGTACTCCAAAACAGAACGTATTAGAGCAGTATAGACACTAAGTAAATCCTTGGGTGGAAGGCCATTGCGGCGCAGGACACGAAGGATATAAAGTCGCTGAGCAGCTTTCTTTGTAATGCTAAGAATGTGACTACGCCATTTTAGATCATCCTGAATGAGCACTCCTAGGAGCTTGTGACTTTCTACTACTTCGATTGAGGTGTTATTAATAGTCAACTGTGATAGAGTGGGAGGGTTACGTAGGAAGCATATTCTGAGTTCTTTGCACTTTTTTGGGTTCAATTTCATGTAATTTGAAGAACACCAGGTGGATATATCATCCAGGGTGGTTTGGATAGTTGATGAACCTTCTCGAGGTAGAACTTCAGCAATGGTTAGGTCATCAACGTACTTCCAGAATGAACTGGTTGGAGTAAGCTCATTCACCATAACTAAAAATAG